ATTCAGGTGATGCCTGCTGTCGGCTGTCATGCAGTGTCTTTGCTGCTCATGTGTATCTTTTGGTAGGATCTGTCACTTGGGCAGCAATTTTGCTAGCCATTGTATGTCTTAGATTGCACTCTGTTGGGTTTAGGAAGTGGAGTATGTCAAAGAAGAAGCTAAAATGGTTTACCTTCTAGAATGCCTACAGAAGACTGCGCCTCCGGTAAGAACGAGCAATTTTATATATATATCACACAGCCGTGGAAAAAAGAGACCACTCTATATTTTAACAAAATCTGCATTTGTAAATCATTATTTAATTGTGGTTCTGCTGGCAGAAGGCTATGCTGAGCAGCAAGATGCTTTCAGGTAAAAAAATTTCTAAGACAGCAGCACACAAAAATAAGGTGAAGCAGGAGACGCTGGGAACGACCAGAAACCAGCCAGGTAAAAGCCGGAAGCGACATTCTAATGCCAGAGAAGACCGGTAACTCATCTGACAGTTTCTTATGAATTTAAGGATGACATTAAGTGAACTTCAAAGGAATGGGGAACTTTAAGTGCAGGTGTGAGGAGCACTGCTGGGACAGTTCATATCAGGCTCCTAGAAGCAGGACTGAGGTCCCATAAAGCAAGGAAGAAGCCCTTCATTAATGAGAAACTGAGAAGAACTAGGTCGCAGTTTGCAATATATATATGATGCTGAGATGTATATATCTCTCGCTGAGAGAGATATATATATCTCTCGCTGTTGTGCTGTGGTCTCTTAATTTTTTCCGCGGCTGTATGTATGAGTATTGAAGACCTCGACGGGACATGCTTCTGAAGTGCAGGCTGTCTTTACCCAACACAGGTCCTGATATTTGCTGAGAAAAAGGCGGATGTTGATGCTATTCACGAATATCTCCTGCTCAAAGGCGTGGAAGCAGTAGCTATCCATGGCGGGAAAGGTACCGAGAGGATGACTTCATACTCTTGTGGATATAGTGCATAAATTAGGGGCTAGCTTAGCATTTTCTCCTATCTTGTATCACGGGGGAAGCGATTAGTTATGAGTCAGTCATACGTGCATCACTTTGTGATTCGCATCTGTCCGTGTGGCATACAGGCAATGTCTGTAAATCGAGTTCTGTTTTGGTGCTCTCCAGATCAAGAGGAACGGACGAAGGCTATAGAGGCCTTCAAGGAAGGAAAGAAAGACGTACTTGTGGCCACAGATGTCGCCTCTAAAGGTCTCGATTTCCCAGCCATCCAGCATGTGGTCAATTATGACATGCCAGAGGAAATAGAGAACTACGGTAAGATGCGCTTGGTGTGCGTTCTCATTTACACCACGCTTCTGTCATTGTAGAGGGTATTCAAAAGGTTTTCATTATAAAATCAATTGTGGTGTTCTCCCCTGTTCAGTCCATCGGATTGGACGTACTGGAAGATCAGGGAAGACTGGGATCGCCACAACCTTTATCAACAAAGCCTGTGGTATGTAATAGTTTCCATCTGTCAGTAATATATAGCATTAAACGTTTTATTGTACACAAGCGAGCTATAAACCTGAAATGATTCACAGCAATGAAATATATTCCCCGATTTTATGCACATTGGCATAAGATTTTCAGTCCTTACTTGCAACTTTGTTTTTTAAAGCATCTGTAGTTATAAAATAAACCTTATTACTTAAAAGTGCTAAAGTTCAGGACAATCCGTGTATCTTTGCTTTTTCTAAATGAAACCAAAAGTCAGAAACAAAAATAAAAACACTTTTTTTTCCCCCGATATTCATTTCCAAAACCAAAATGAGAGAACTGGTATCAGCTTGTTTTCAGATTTCCAATTTTGTGTTCCAATCAAAAATGGAAAAACAGACAGCAAGCGCTCACATCCTGTTTCGTTTTTTTTTTTTCTTCATCTGACACAAGTGGCGTGGCCCTCGTAAATGTTACTTCAGGAAAATATGACGATTTATTAATTGGGTCCCACAGTATATATGATACTTATCAGTATGTCATGAGAGCGGCTCTGTTCAGAAAGTAGGTCTGACTGCATAAAATTTGTCTGGAAAAATCCGCACCAGATCACACGTGTCTCAAAGATTTAATGGAAATCATTTGCCACAGCTAAGGGTCTGTCATCACTATCACCATGTTTACACCGACGGTATTCCATACTGCTGCTGCTTGTCGTACTACTGCCATCATTGTCGGTCTATTTTGATCCATGTACATCATATTTACATCTTCATTGCTACATCTTTGTAAGAATTTCATTGTATTCTAGTACATCCAGTACTTCGTACATACAGTGTCGTATCTTGAACCATTTTCCTATGCTCGATCTAATACCGTAAAGTTATGTCCGTGTGTGCGCCATACATTTTAATTCAGTTCCAGCACAGGGCCTGTGTCTGGCCATGGTGTCAACTACTTGTTTTTGTGGTTTTTACCATTTTCCACAACTTGTCACTTTCGCAGGGTCACACCTCTTGTGTCAGATGAAAAAACCAAAATAGAATGTGAGCGCTTGTATCCGTCTCTTCCATTGTTGATTTGGAAATCTGAAAACAACGCGTTATACGTTACCTCGTTTTGTCTTTGGAAACCAGTATTGAAGGTTTAATTTAGAAAAAAAAAAAAACCAAATGATTGATACATGGATTCCAGACCATTATTATACTGTTTATAATCCTAAACATGTAAATTGGATTAGAATGAGTTTTAAAAGGTGGACTGCTTTAGAAAACAGCTTCTTATTCAGCACTCAACCAGACATAAATGCTGACTGTGTTCAGGGCTGTATCCGTACGCATCAGAGCGACATCAGAAGGCTGGCTGACGCATCAGCCACTATGACCTCAAGTTTTCCTACCCACTAAAGACACAAATATTGCTACATTATCTTGGCTGAATATTGCAGACACCTGGTACGATTCAGGCCTATTGATATGACAACGTTTTGCTGTATCGCCAACCACAAGCTTAGCAGTGTAGTTTATAGTCTAGCCTTTTTTTTTTATATATAAATTTTTCAATATAGCACTTGGTTTGCAGAGATGGTGAGCGCTGGACTTTCCGTGTTGCAGCTGAAGACACAGTCTTTATCTGTGTGTGAAGAGAGGAAATGACTGAAACTCTGACAATTTTGAAAGACTAATCATTGTTTATTAATAACTTGGGGTTACTGAATGTTTTATTCTTTATTCTGGTTTGTTTGTGGTTTGTATTAGCTGATTTTTAATTTATGGGTTTTTAATATGAATGAAGTTTGGTTTTGTTTTCCCCAAATGCATTCAAAACGTACGTACGTGTTGAGATGTCACAGATGAGCATTACTGCGGTTCACACGTATGGCGTGTTTAACACTCACCCCCCTAACCCCAACCAACAATCCTTTGATACAGACGAGTCTGTTCTGATGGACCTGAAAGCCTTGCTGATAGAGGCCAAGCAGAAGGTCCCGCCTGTACTGCAGGTTCTCCAGACTGGAGACGAGACGATGCTGGACATTGGAGGTAAGAGGTTTTGGGGCTGCATGTTAGTCGTCCTCGCAGTCAGTGGGCAGTGCGCCAACAAGACACTCTGTGGTGGAGACCTTTAATGTTCAGATGAACTTTAAACTTTAGCTACTTTTGTATTACTGGAAAGGGGAACTAACTGCAGACTCGTTTACGATGAACCGCTGGATTTATTTTTATCGTAGGAGAAAGAGGTTGTACCTTCTGTGGAGGTCTGGGCCATCGCATCACCGACTGCCCAAAACTGGAGGCAATGCAGACGAAGCAGGTGACCAACATCGGCCGCAAGGACTATCTGGCTCACAGCTCCATGGACTTCTAACCTGGCAGCCGGGGACCCGCACGGCACGGACGACACCCCGAGTGTGAAAGGCGGCTGTTTGCACTGAAGTCTCTCTTTAATATCTGGTCACTGGGTTGCTGAAGGGTTTGGTAAAAGTTTGCTCATTAGGTTCTTTTTTGTTCAGGTTCTTTCTCATCCTAATCAGTGCTGCAGACTTGTACAATTGTAAAGTAATGTTTTTTGTTCCCAAAGTATTTGTACATAAGTGAACTGTGTGAAAATGATCGTCTTGTCGTCATATTTTACATTTTTTCTTAAAGGAATGTACATTTATGGAATGTAAAATAAAGGTGTAAAGCCAAGTTCAGTGGTTGTCATTGTTGCACAAATAGATGTACATTTATATCTTGAGTAAATTCGCTGTACCGTAGTTCGTGGGGGAAAAATTCTGTTCTGATTGTGATAGTAGTAGGCGTTTTTTCCACCTTGATCGGTACAGTAAAAGGAGCTTTACCTTGTAACATTTTTAGACAGTGTGGGTATGTTTCTTACTCGTGCTATGTATGTAAAAAGAGTTTCATTTCTAGTGCAAAACCTAGTTGTTACAGAACATTGTGCAGATCTTGTGGCTGTGTGGCTCTAACCAAAATGATCGTTTCTTATTTTCAAGGTAGTAAACTGAAACTGGTGGTTATTGTTTGCATAGAAAGTTTGTCATGTGAAACTTGACAATGAGATGCAGAGGCGGTACACTTGGACATGATTGAAATTTGTGTAGAATTGCTGCATAGTTTTAGGACTAAATTAAATACCAAGAAATGTTTTTAAGTTATCCACCCGTTTCCCATTAACTGCTCATTCACTGCAGGGTTCTTTAGGAGCCTGGACAGGTGCATCTTCACACGCTGGGCGACTTAGAGATGCCTATTCAAATCTGCAATGTAGGGGAGACTTATATAAAGAAGAGGATGAGCGATTGCATTTATTCAGGGTCCAGACGGGAGTCTGAGACACGGCGCTGGCGGTGTGAGAGCCCCAGCCATGCCAGTACGCTGCTGCTTTCAGTGCGTGCTGTGGCATTTTGTAAAATAGGAAGCTGCCTCTAAAATGCGTGGGAAGTCCCAGTTGAGGGGCAGTGTTTCCTGTCCTGATTTTGTAGCTTGAGCCAGTGGTTTGCAAAATAATAATAAAAAAAAAAAAAACATACGGAAGGAAGGTTAAGCAAATCATTCTTCAGGGGAGGTGCTGAGTCTCAGCTAATCCCCACCCACCCCCTGCTGCATGTGATAGAGGAGAAGCAGACAGCAGCCGCTGCTGAAATATATCTCCTTCCCACCGAGGCACCGTCTTGACCAGAAAAGAAGCTCCGCTCTGATTGTCCGCGCCTCTCTTAAGTATGGAAGTCCCAGCTAAGGAGGGCATGCTGTATCTTCAGGTTGTCAAATTTGGCAAGGTAAGCTCAATCTTCCTTGAACTTGCAGAATTTTTGTTCAGCATACATAGAACCTATGCACTCAGTATAAAACATCAGACACCTTTCAGGCATATGAACTTAAAAATGATTAGTAGCGAAGCTCATTCAGTACTTCACCTACAAGCAGCCTTTTGTGCTCAGGGATTCTGTCCTGTGCAGAGCAGAGGACACAAGGCTGGGCTACAACAGGCAGTGACTGCAGTGAACAGGCACAAGTAGAGCAAAGTCTGGTCATATTGGCCGACATTATACCATAGCAAAAAATAATCAATGTAAAATGTATCTGGATAAATGTATATCATTATGTTTAAGTATCTGGATTTATGCTATGTATCTATGGCAAAACACATGTATATTTTCTAAGACCTCTAGATTTTTTAAGTATTGAGTGTTTTGTATAAATATAACCAAAACCATACCATGAATACCTTTAACAGCATTTAACAATATTATAACAGAATTATAATGTTTTAAATTCAAAAATGCACAAGCCTCGTAAAAGTAAATTACTATCATTTTGCTAGTTCCTTTTTTAATTTCTTAGTAGACTAAAAGTGTAGCCCTCTTTTTATTTTATATTTACAAATATTAGGCTAATTGAATATTGAAACATGGACAAGTACACATGTCGGCATAACAATCTATTGAACCCAACGGATGGGAGCGGATGCCAATTTGACTGATATTGTCCCACTTTAAAATGTAATAATTTGGATCTCAGTTAAATTGCTCTAAAACTACCTGTGAAAATACTCTTGTGTTCCATGTATATTTATCAGGTTTTTTAGTAACATTTAAACCAGCTGTGTCATGGCTGTCATCACCTTCTCAAAGAGTAGCAGTCGGAAACGCATGTCTGAGGTGTCCATGTGGGTCTTTTTCGTCCAACAGAAGAACTGGAAGAGGATCTGGATGATGCTGTTCCCCGCCAGCTCCTCGGGCATCGGCCGCGTGGAGCTGTACGTCGTGCGAGACGGCCAGATGAAACCGGGGATCTGGAAGGCAGGCAGGAGGGTGATCCGGCTGGCCGACTGCCTCAGTATTTGCCCCGCACCGGAAGAGAGCTGCCCCCCAGATCATGTGGCCTTCTACCTGAACACCACCCAGCGCACCTACGCACTGGCCGCCGAGTCCCACGAGGACTGGGTCCCCAGGATCTGCCAGCTAGCATTCCAGGTGTGGTCTGCGGCATCGCTGCACAGAAAACTGTAGGTGTAAATATGCGAGGAGGGTCGCGAAAAGTCCATCCCCTGCATTGCTGATATGTTCCACCACGTGTGGTTAACTGAGTGCTGCTCTTGTTCGACATCCATGTCCGATATTAACGTTCACACCTCGACCGCACCTGACAACGCCTTATCACACTCGATGGATTTTAGAAATCGGAGAGAGAAAAAAAAAACCCCAACGTGCTGAAAGGAAGCCGTTCTTGCAGAAGTGATCGTTAACCCCCTTCTCACAATGCTCTGCCCAAATATGCAGTGGAGTGATGGAAACCAGAAGTGGAGCAGAAATGAGGAAATGCTGATGGAGGAGAATGAATTGTACTCTTCATGGAAAACAGGTGCGAAGTCAGCTTGCTCTCTTTAAGCTACCGATGATGCTGGATGTAATTGTGCAAAATTCTCTTGTATGTGTGACATAAGGCAGCTATTGTGTAATAGGATATGTACTAATACAGTGATGATAAGCTGTCAAATTTTAAACATTTTTTGTAAGCCATTTCCTTCTGCGTATACTTCCTTATAAAATATGATAAATCTCAAGCTGTCTTTGTAACATAAAACTGTAAAATTACCTTTAATCCGTGGGTAATTTTCAGAATTCTGTTATGTAGGCATTTGCATCCATGTAGGCACCCAGAGCACCGGAATGTCACACAGCTGTGAAACACGCTAAGACGTCACAATTGCCACAGAGGTTGTACAGGGCGGCTGTCAACTTCTTGTGGATTCTTCGCTGTCAGCTTTCAGTTTTCCGTTAACGATGAAACAATGAAGACAGCCCCAGCATGCCAAGAAACGCTGCTTTTGTGTTTAAAGACTGTCCTTGCACTGCTCATGGCAGTACCGCAAAATTTGAAATTGAATCATTTGTCAAACTAAGCCAATGATTTTTATTTTTCAATACTTTGGTAATAATCAAATAATTTCCCGTGCTCTTAGACAAGTGACAGTTCATAAGCCTTATTATATAAGTATAATTATAAATTCAAAATAATAGTATAGACCAGTGTTTTTCAATCTGATCCTCGGGGACCCACAGACAGTCCCGGCTAAGAGGGAGCAAAAATGTGGACTGTCTGGCAGAGAGCTGGGAGGGAGCAAAAATGTGGACTGTCTGGCAGGGAGCAGGGAGGGAGCAAAAATGTGGACTGTCTGGCAGGGAGCAGGGAGGGAGCAAAAATGTGGACCAACGGTGGGTCCCTGAGGACTGGATTGGGAAACCCTAGTATAGACATTCAAACATATCCTAGTGCCGAAAGAGAGCAGTTATCGCTTAATGTATACTCTTTTTTGGTGTTAAAACTGAAATACTTTTAACAAATTGCCTGTTGTGTTTCCCTTAGTCCAGTACAAAGTCAGCATCCAGAAGACAGAAGCAGCAGTGCGATGTAATCTTTCAGGACCCTACCTACTGTCCCTCAGAGATGATGCCATTTACTTACTGGACCCTGTGACATCACAAACTATCTACCATTGGCCGTATCCATTTCTTAGGCGCTATGGCCAAGACAAGGTAACTCCAGACAGAAATATTTATCCAGGCTATCAATTATTGAAAGAATGAAAAATGATCATAACTCAAGTTATAGTTCTAGTCTAGGGCTGGTTCTGCTGTTGTTTCACATGCTAATACAAAACTATTCTTCGCATATTGCTCTTTTTGTGTTTTGTTTTTATTTAATTGGCCAATGCATATTAGTTGTTATGAAACATATAACATAACATGAAAGCAGTGCTTTTGTGCCCCTGTCATTCCAGGATACAATCACTATTGAGGCTGGACGGCGATGTCAGTCAGGAGAAGGTCACTTCACATTTCTGTCCAAAGATGTGGCACAGATCTACAGGAGCATTGAAGAAGTTATCGCCAGGCACCGTGCCACCACTGCAGAACCAATGGCCGGCTCTAAACCCCCCACTACCAAAGTTTCTGGCAAGACGAGAGACCAGATGGATTCCCTGCCCAGTTGTCCAGACAAAACCCTTCCTACACTACCACCTAGAAACGTTGTTCTTCCAGACATCACTGGCATATTTCCTCTGCAGCAAGCCAGTTATCCCCTATCTTTCCCAGAGACAATGGAGTACTCCATTTTACAAATACCCACTGGAGAGAGACAGTCACACGCAGTGCTGAGGACAAAAGACGAAAAAGAGTGGCTAGTAGAAGAGACCACATGTGACTACAAGGAGGAGGAGAGACTTTGCTCCCTTGAGAGCATTTGCCTTGACGACACAATCGACGATGCATTTACGAAGAAGCCTCCTCTGAATTACAAAGCAAAGGGCAGCTTGGATGAAGGAGATCTGGAGAAGTGCAGCAGCTCAGAATATCAGAATTCTGTGGCAAACTCCCAATCAACAAGCAGAAATGAGAACTCGGAGGAGGGCAGTGTGAGTCATTTAAGTGAAACCACACCCATTGTTACCACCACTGAGATCCCTGTTGACTTCAAGGAAAGGCTCTCAAACATCCTATTCAAGGACCTGGCCAAGATCCAGACGCCACTCTGAATTAAGTATACTGATACGGCCAAGACATTTTGCTATCAAGACAAGGAGAAGGAAGAACTGGGTAACTAAAAATGTGAGATCTGGACTTTTAGAACCACTGCCATCCCAGCCATAGTGACCTTCTGCCTATGGCAGCTGAAATGGATGGATGTTTTCAAAGATGTGGTACAGCAGACTAAATGTGGATTCTTAGTTTGCTGAAACTGCTTTTATATACATGTGAAAAAAACACAGACGTGAAGCACCCCAAATCTGATGGCCAAACCACCAGGTTTTCTACCTCACAGACTTTGGGGGTGCTGTCTAGACAGGAGAACTACCGGTGTGGTGGAGATCAAATTTAGTACGGATGGCTGGCAAAATTGGGGGGAAAAAATCAGATAAACCGCACAATGGTGTGTTTCCGATAACGATGACTCTTGTCGTCTTATTCTCGATAGATATATCTTACAAAAGGTATTTCTTTTCCTACATCCGTTTACTTAACAATCTCTTAAAAGATTAAGGGAGAGCTTCTTAAGAGCGACCTTAACAGGCGCCGGAACACCTGATTGGTTGACATCGATGGCTCGAGAGTCGATTATTCCCTCCATGCAGCCTCCTGAGTGGTGTTCTCTATAAATATAACAATGCAGGAATGCTTCAAAATATTGCATTAATTAGAACTGCTGAGAACCTAAAAATAAAATAGAAAGTTAAATTGAATCATCAAACCGTAAATATGATTTTTGCTGACTGGGTGCATGAACCCCCCTCCCCAGATTGTAGTATCACCAGTTTATTTTTATTTGTTCTATAAAACACCTGCATGCCCCAATTTGTGTGCATGTCATTGATCCGGGGACGAGTAATGGCCCAATAGCCGAAAGAAAAGTTGCGTACTACTAACATAAGAGAATGTCCTATTTTTGGAGGAAATATATTAGATATATTAAATATATTAGTAAATGTACCTGCAATTTTTTTTTATATACTGTGGCACATTGGAGAGGTGTGTGCATTCTAGGGGTGTCGGAAACTGGAGGAAAGCGCCCACCCTAACATCGGCAAACCCCCAAGTTCCCAATTAATAAATAAATTCATGATCAACAGCGCGCTTCTTATCTATCTTTATGAATCCGCGCGTCACTGAGGACAATTCGCTGTGCACTCAGAGCGCAAGGACCAAACCTAACAAAGATTGTAGTCATATATCAGACAAAATCATTTAACACATGGATCAGTTATTTTTAAGTGATGTTTGGTTATTAAATTGTACCGTTAACTATGTTAGTCTTATTTTAAATCAGCGGTATGAGCCGACAACAGCGATGAGCGAGTTGAGAGGCTCAGACCATGCTTACGGAAGATATAGCCTACTTCACTACGAACGTTTCAGGAAAAACGTTGGAGCGTCAAGAGACAAACTTAGGAAGGACATAGCGCTAAGAAGGTTCCGGGAAAAGCACCACAAAACTAAAAGCAAAGGAACATTAGAAAAGGACAAGTACAAAGACTGACATGAGCGCAAGGCACCAGGAGCAACAGGACTGAGCCCGAATCAAAGGGCTCTTAGCACTGGCGTGCACAGATAGAGACGAGGTGGTGCTGAAGCACTTGCCCTTTTGCCCTCAGTCCAAAAAAGTGCCCTTTTGAAAGACGTGATTTTTATTTTTTTTTTAAAGCTGCGCGATTTAAAAAGGTGTGAAAATAATGGCTTGATTTGTGCCCCTTCTTCAAAGACACCCGAACCCTGTCGCTTTTTCACTGTCACCGTGTCACGTGAACACGCTTGCAGTTCATTTGTTGTGGGGCGTGTAGCAGCGGCATGACATAGGACTACTTGGAGTAGGCATAGTAGGCTAACTAAAGCGACTGGGAGCCACGGCGGACAACACGGCAGCTCTTTCCCTTCCCAACCAGTCAGGTAACCCATGAATCGAGTGAAATTATTCTGTTTGCCCTCTAAGACCAACCTGCGATTGTTTTGTTGTGAAGTAGCCTGTCAGAAACTGCACATGACAAACTTTGCCAGCTTGCCCCCTCCATCCATCCATATGGATAAACAAAAAAACGACACATTTAAAATGTAACCTAAACCATTTAGGCAACCCCACTCTCCATCAATTCCGACCTTTTTGCATACACTATTGAAAATATCACGTTATGCTATAGGCTACATGCCGTTAGGCAGAGGGCTCTTTTGAGCCCATTTTTCGTTACAAATTTTAGGATGATCTCACGGAAATCTGTGAATAAATACAAAGTTTTCAAACTGAAGTCAGTGACGGGAAGACATCACACTTTTTAGAGATGGAACTGCAGAAAAACCTAAAACCTTGACATGATTATGAATAATAGAATTATGGACGTTTCTCCGTTTTTGTGGATTAGCCTTTCCATAACTAACGTCAACTACTGTCCTACTTTGGTAAGATTGAAATTAATGTCTTTGACTGTCTTTAGTAGGTGTGATTTTTGATTTTTAGAGAATGTTTTGAAATAAAAGTCAAATTGCATTTAACCTGTGCGTTTTTTTTATTATAAAAAGAAAAGGTTTTCCACATATGCAAAAAGTGCCCTTTTTTCCCCCTGGAGCACTTGCCCCCCAAAATGTCTGTGCACGCCACTGGCTCTTAGGGTTTTAATAACATTTGCGTAACCAGGGGCGCAGTACGGCATGGTTCTCGATCCCGGCAGATTCAAGGGGCCGGGAACTTTACTGGGGACCGTGAATATGTAAAAGTGCCAAATTATATAAGGCTCAGGAGCTGGCCGGGAGGCAGAGTTTCTGTCTATGCCCCTGGCTGTTACCAATAGCGTTCTGCTGGTTTTTGTTTTTATTAGTTAATGCAGTTTTTTATCACTCGAAACGTAGCTTAAAAAGGATCCTGGTAAAGAACAGATCTGATAATGCCACTTTCTTTTTCTTTCAACCACAGAGGTAACTTAATACTTTATTTTTGGATTCATATTGTAATACTTGATGTTCAAAATTTGGTTTATGGACTTAATAAACTTAGTTATCCTTTTATCCTAATTTAATTAAAGATATATTTATATATATATTTAAAATAATTATAAATTGTTATATTGACCTTATAAGTAAAAGCGAAATTATAATATTATATAATTTGAAGATTATATAGACAAACAAATACAAGTAAGAGTTAGATGTACCAGCCGTTTATTTAATGTTTAACGAAGAGCTTGAATAACGATTACTGGTTGTTAGTCACATTAAAATACAGAAATGTCAAATTACATACCTTTATCGTTTTGAATGTTGAAAGAAAATCTAGCAATCCATATGTTGAAACAAAAACCAATTTGCTATCTATAGACAACGTCTCTACGATTATATAGTAATATATATTTTGTCAATAAAGTGCAACTAATGTATCTGTAATTAATTTTCTAAAATAATGTTAATGTGAAATCACTTTATAACAGGCGAAATTCAGAAAGCAGATTGAATAAATCTTGTTATAAATTATTTTATAACCTTAATATACCCCCCCCCCCCCCCCGCGCGCCAGGAGTACATGAATCCATACTGTACGCCTATAAATAATACATTTTAGTTTCTCCCTCCCATTAGGTTCAGAACTTGTGCCCTTAATTCTACACGACTAATTAAGTGTAGGCTAACAGTCGATTATTTTGTCAATACAACATGTGTAGCTATTAAACTACTTGATTTCTATTTTAACAGAGATGTTAAATCATCCAAGGTTTCCAGAGCTGATGTGGAAATCAATGCACATAAACGTAATCACCAATGTCCCTTTCGTCAAAAGCAGAAAATCCCATTGAGGATCTATCCAGTCTGCCCACTTCCACAGCTCTCAATGCCTGTCCAAGTTAGCATCCTCACAGTCACTGAAATGCGATGATTCCCCGTCGCTGCCGTTGGATGATGCCACCTTCTTGTTGTCGATCGACAAGTCTGATTTTGTTGTAGACAGAATGATCAGATGTCCGACAGACGCGTTAATATCTCGAGGCTCCCCTAAGAACCGCAGCGGGTGCTGCGCGGATTCCGCCGGGTACTTAATACTGCTGCCCAAAACGCTGTCGGGGGAACGGGGCTCCAGTTCCGTCCTCTTACCCTGATTACCAAGCACGCTGTGTTCTGCGCTGGAGCTTCTACGATCCGGTTTCCCAACGCCTTCCAAAAGTTCCGACAATTCCGTTATATAAATTTGTGCCATTTGAAGAGTGTCATACTTGGACAACTTCTTCTCGTTTTCCAGTGAGGGTATGACACTTCTCAGCTTGTCAAAAGCCCTGTTCAGTCCATGCATCCTCCTCCTCTCCCTTGCATTTGCAGCCACGCGCCTGTGCTTTTGCGGACCCGAATTTTGCTTCTTAAGTTCTCCTTTTAGTTTATCGCAGTCATTTTCATTCATGGCAACACTGCCCGATAACTTATTCCGTGATATTACATTTTCAATCTGTACTTCCACAGAGCCATGCTCGTAAACAGTGGATACTGGGCCCTCCGATGACATATATGCATGAACGGCACTGGCTGCTTGAAAAGCGGGGTTCAGCCAACTGCGAGAATCATTATGTGATAACCTTGATATTTCAGCAAACTGAAATTTGTCTATGTGGCAGTCGTGGATGCTTCCCTCTGGCCAGCTCAAAATCGATTTCTTTTCGGCTGTCATATTTTCTTTTCCTGTAACAAAAAATTATAACAATCAAAATAAAGCGATCAGTAAATTCCTCACCAGCATAGAATCCTTCAGTCAGTATTTTTCCTTTTGTTGACTTATTGTTTCCCTTATGTTTTACTTTTCACGGGCAGGAAGACTCTTACAACTGAAACATCGAAACATGCGCAAATGCCGAAGCTGAGACTTAAAATCTCACTTTACTCCTAATCCGTGTTTGGCTTTTAGCGTGAATTACTCTTGTCCCCGCCCACAAAAGACACCGGTCACTTATTAATAGCCAATGGCGAATGTCACACACCCAATTCCCAATTCTCCAAAGATTAACGAAATAATAATAATAATAATAATAATAATAATAATAAGTAAAAATATCCGATGAATTGGAAGCATGTTTTATTTAAAATATTTTTAGAATATCTTATGTTTAAACAAATTTAATACCCTATATCTAAATTTAATGTCAGTTAAATATAACATTCTTTGAACGTTCCTAAACTATGAATTCAGCATTTCACATAGGAACAGGAACTTATTAGGAAAATGAAGCGGCACACACGAGCACGCGCCTTTTCAGAAAGGGCAGAAAAGTTAACACGTAAGAAAGTGTAATGCGAGTGATCAGTTAGTTATAATTATCCAAATCTATTAAACAGACTATCATACTATTTTAAGATCCACCTATATTTTGTATTTTAAAATGAATAAGAAATAGGCTTAAGTGATTTGGACCAAGATGATATAAATAAATGTACCAGCACAATTCGTGGTAAGGAACAGCCATAGGTAGACTTCAGTCGCAGACTAATTTGACAAATTTCCTGACGATGAAGGAATGTGTTGATTGATTTGTCTGCGAAACTTAAAAATCAAAGAATAACAATGAGTATATGTATCGTCACGCCTTTAACAAACAGAGCCCCCGTTTGCCCCCAGCTGAACAAACGCTCGTATGTCAGTCTTGAGTGCTTATGCTATATGCAGTTAATTACAGATAAGCAACGGACTTGGCAGCCAGTCGTGCTCCTATGCCTGTTGGTATAGCGGTAGAATCGCCCTATAGCCCAAGACTGATCTCAAATAAACTGTAAAAGGGCGTTATTACCAGTCGTAAAATGAACAGGTGGGAGACACGTCGCAGGATGCACCTGTCGCCAGGGATCAGTACCCGGATAGTACAACTGATAAGTTTCCTTCGTGAAATAACCAGGAAGCAAGTAGCACACAAGCATCAGATAGCAAACCGGGACACAAAAGCGCTACATTCCCGTATAATAAAATCGATCAAATGTGAAACTCAGAAACGATATTTAATATAATGCAAAAGAAAGGCACCTGCGCCTTTGCATTCATAAGCCCCCCCCCCCCCACGCCCCTACATCAGCTGGCGTCTGAAGCACGCCTGCGTCTCCCATATGCTGCTCCCAGAGTTGACTTTCACACAATTTATTGCTGGGATTTACAATGAAAAAGTTCATCACTCATCACAATAACAACATGAGTTTTAATTAAGACGCGCTTCTTTAAGCCCGCCATTACAACACGCACGGGACATTCTGTTAGTGCGGACCGAACCTTTTCTTTGGGCTCTGATTGATTTGAATTGTTAAACTCTTTCTGGGCAGCTTGATAACTAAGACACACGGCAACATGAAAAATGTCCTGGCTGGGAGGTCAGCACTGCCGATTTCAAAGAAAATTAACACAAACCGCTTTAAACATTCAGCATGTATCCTATACATTTATTTTATTGTACTGTATATGTTATTTTTAGTCTAGCAAAAACAAATTAAATTCGTGAAATTTATCTACTTTTATTGAACACCTTTTTTTAACGTTTCAATTGGCAATTCATATAAACTATCTTTAAGATCTCTTCAGTAAAGTGAGAAATAAAAAAAAGCTATCAATACCATCATTTATGAATTTACAATTAACAATAACAAAGTTTGTTTAGATTTAAAGCCTGGGTCCCCCCTCCAGTCAATGTTATAATTTGAGCTCTTCGCTTATCCGTTTTAATACTCTGATACTTTAAAAGCTTTAAGTCGCCGCATATTTTAAAATTCGGCGTCTGGCGAGGACACAGCCGTACAAAGTGGACACACCGAGCGGAGACAGGCGGCGAACGCGAAACGCTGCCGCGGACCTGCCCTCCCGTCAGAGAGTTAATGAGCCTTGCCGCGCTTGAATGAACTGGCACGTTCTCCAACCAGGGGTGTCCATTCATTTTCCCATGAATATTTCATTGCTGGTTCCCCCCCAACACCGTTGCGACAGCCTGTATCCCTGCTGTATTGAAGGCTGGGGTGCAGAGCTTCATTTTCCATCTGCTGTGGGGTGTGAGTGGGGAGTGGTACTGGGGGCCGCGGGAGGTGTGGGGGACATTGCTGGGGTCACCCCGTCTCCCATGTGGCTTCGCTTGGTTCCTACGCACGCGACTCATTTTTGTGCACCACTTGCTCCACATGCATTGACCTAATTATTCAAGTGTCACCCATCCACTAGTCCTTCCCATTCATCAATGCTTATTATTATTTATAGAAAAAAAAACACATTCTAACAATATCTTAAGCACGGTTTAATGAACAGATTCCACCGGGCGATCTGCTCTCATTAACCACATTCAAAATTCGATTGTATTCAGGAACTGACTTTGATGCACGCTGTGAAAATGACTTTTCATCTATCTTCCCACCAAGGGAAGATTAGTATTAGGCCTATTTTATGCGCTCTTTAGCTAGTTAACATCTTCTACAGCTAGTTAATTTCTAAAATGCGGATTCATTCGTCTAAACGCCACATTCTGACGCTGCTGGTAAAATCTACAGGTTAGTAAGAA